GGCCAATACTCACTCTCTGAAACACTAGAGACTGGCCACACATCCAGAAGTATAACAAGACTATTTTTATCTGTCTTAGAACCTGGGATCTTTCACATTGCTCATGCTAAGTCTCCCAGGACAGCAAAACTGCACCCATAATGGGGAAAAGGTATACTAAATCAAGTTCCACAAGTATCCTCATCTCTTATTATCTGTATACAACTAATTCTAGGAAGACTCCATTTTGAAATGGAAACATAGTTATAAGGATGAGACTCATTTTGGGACCCCCTCCCTTGGATATGGACTTCCAGGTTGACCAAAAAGCCATTAAGAGGAAAGTACAGCTCACCTACTTAAGAGAAGCCCAAGTGAGTAGAGTCAAATACTGGCCATGGCTTCTCCGTTATGTCCATAAAGGATTATACAACATACCTAGATGTCCTCAAGCAACTTGTTACTATCCAAGAGCCAGTGTATACCAATTCTTACCTATCTGTACCATGGCTCATGAGTAGAGTTGTCAGATTTAGTCAATAAAAATTGAGGACATACAGTTAAATTTGAACTTTAGATAAATAATACTTATGTTTTAGTATAAGTATATCCTACATAAGATGAGGGACATGCTTATATTAAAAACATATTCATTGTTTTTCTGACATTCAAATTTGACTAAACATCCTATATTTTATCAGTCAAACGTTACTTGTCAGAAGTGGTGTAGACTCATAAGGATCTCAGAGATGCCTCAGAGAATCCTTGACTTTTATCTGATTACCCTAAGTAGTGAACATGAACTTTCCATTCCAATTAATAGGCTATAATGAAGTATATCCTTACATGTAGAGCTTTTTCTACTTGTCATTGTCAATATTTTTTTCTAACCTCAATAGCTCATCAGGAAGTATTTGAAAGTTCATTAGACAAAAGAAAAACAACATGAATCTGAAAAATTAAGGGAACTGCCTGGTGTTTAGTGAAAAGTATTAGGAAGATTGAAAAAGCCAAATTTAATAAGCAAGCCTCTCCAAGGATATTTTCATAGCTTGAGATCCTCCCACACTCTGAAAATATGATTGCATCAAGAATGCAGAACTGCTAACCACATTTAAGGCTTCCTTATGAGTCTATCAAATTCAAGATGCTGTGTACTAAGAAGTAAACTAATTGCCTGCCCCTGGACATTGGCAGTTGGTGGAGCCCTTCCAAGGGTCCGGATGGAAACAGCAGGTTTTTCTATAGGTCTCCACACTGACCCCAGTATTACCACACTCCTCCTCCTTGTCAACTCAAAGTACTGTTTTACCTATCTTCACTATTCTGTTACTATTTAGACAACATACTAGAGTTGACATTACACAAATTACATTTAAGAAGCTATTTTTAAAATTTGGTAGGAAATCTTGAATCTATAGATTCTAGTCCCTGGCTTACCTTCATCCAGCTACATAAGGGTTTTTTAAAAAGAACCAGTTTACTTATCCCATGTAACAAGCCCATGCTTGTTTGAGAGATGTAAAATGTAACACGATATTTAAAGGTTTTAGTGGCAAAATTATCCAGTCTTCCAAATAGAGACAATAAAGCTGAAAGATTAAAGGCATTGATTTTGACTTGCTCCAATGTCTCAGGCAAGTCAGATGAAGAATTTATTCATGTCTCATCTGCCAGTATCCACTATGAAAAAAGTGTGTGTGTGTGTGTGTGTGTGTGTGTGTGTGTGTGTAGAAAAATGTATGAAAGTTTGCATATCAAATGATTCATGTTAACTTTGAGGATTGAAATATACCGGGGAAGGATTAAAGAAGAAAATTAGGTTTCACTCCATTTTGTTATCATCTGAGTTTTTATACTTTTAATATATTGTTTGTGAAATAAAAAAAAGTCAGGATAAATGTTTTGAAGTTTTCCTGCTATGTCTGTATTATTATTTTGGATTTGTTGGTATTTCTTACTATCTTTGGTCTACACCCATCGAGTCATCAGGCAATTCCGGAGGGAAGAGATGACAAGACAGAAATGAAGTGAGAGAAAGGGAGTCTGGGAAGAGGGAACACCTTATGTAATAACCATACTTTGGGGGAAATGATATAATGGCAAATGAGACAAACGTCTTATCCTTGTGATGAAAAGGACTCCTTAGGCTGAAGGTGGACAGAGTCTTGGGGCACCTAGACAAGAGAACCAGAAGGGAACACACACACACATACACAACATACTCACAAGTGCAGAGAAAGCACTTTGAGAACACTTTGCTTATCACCAGGTAAGTATGTGTCTCCAGTAACCAGCACCTCACCCATGACTGCCCAGCAAGAGAGGTACCCAGGTGGAACCATCCAAATTATTCTGTGTCCACTCTGCTAGGACATTCTTAAACCTCTGAGTTATGGCATGGCCCACAGACCTAAGGAGGCAGTGGTGATGGAGATATGGAGGGGGATCCCCTGCCCATACTTGGTGATATCTAACAGAACCAGCTTAGAACTCCCCAAGGCCAGAAGTTTTCTGCATAAATAACTCTAGATATCTGCACCAGGTATACCTCATCAATCGTGACATTTATTAGTACCTGAGATGACTACAATGTACAGTAACCTGAGGCATAAGTAAATCCTTCATCCACCCCCTTAGATGCTCCAGGGCTGCAGAATGAGAACAGAGTTCCCAGATGATTCCAGGAGTTGTACCCACAATCTCTTAGACCAGACAAGGCTCATCCTATGATATGATAATGGTACTTGCTTCAAAGAGTCATTCTGCAGACTAATCAATCCATGCAAACATTTAGAAGGGTGATTTATCATTGTCATTTTTATTATTCTATTTCTCTTCCATATTAGAGGGTTTAAAGATCAAAGTCTCAAGGCCCCTCAGAAAAGGTGAACTAGTTTTTCTGTTGACTGTTCTGCTTCTCACCACATTCTCAGCATAAGCTGACTCTAGGTTTAATAAGCTATAAACACATGCTGTTAAAGTTTTGAGGAAAATATGTGGAATGCCTCAGAGAGGGAAGAGCTTAGCCAAGAGACTGAGAAAAATATTCTCCAGGAATGAGAAGAGAGGGGCATGGGGACCCAGAGCAGCAAGGTGCTCAGATCAGATTCTTGGATGAGGCAAGGACATCTCAGAGTGGAATTTCACCTGAGACACCTCTGAAGGGAACCTCAGGCCTCTGTACTTACAGGTTGCTCCAAAAATCATGACAGAAACAGCAGGGACCTGTCAGGTTGGATGTACTCACTGCAGACAGGGCAATGGGTGTCTCCACTGAATCTATCTGGGTAAGTAATTAGAGCTCAGAGGACCCTTCCCACTTTATCCCCACCTCCAACATACTAAACACACACACACATACACAAACACACTCTAATTCTCACACACTCAACACAACTTGTTCAGTTAAAACCACTCCCTGATTTGTTTTATATGTGATTTCCTTGCAATTTTTGTTTTATGGTTTCCTTGGTTTTCTATTTACATGGATTTTGGGACACATTTACCCCATTCTTTTACCTAAATCATCTTAATTGAATAGTAATTCAAAGCTGAGCTTGGGCAGTTGTCTAGGGACCCTAACTTCCTAGGAGGTATTCTTCGTACGAGCTTTGTGTTTAGAAGGGTCTGGAACCCAACTGTACATCTCCATGGGCCTCCTTTTGTGGGTCACTAGACAGACAAACTTCTATAACTGCAAGAACACCACTAACTTACCACCTGTCAACAACCAAACATCCGGGATGCCTGGGTGGCTCAGCAGTTGAGTGTCTGTCTTTGGCTCAGGTCATGATCCCATGGTCCTGGGATCAAGTCCCACACTGGGCTCCCCACAGGGACTCTGCTTCTCCCTCTCCCTCTGCCTGTGTCTCTGTCTCTCTCTGTGTGTCTCTCATGAATAAATAAATAAAATCTTTAAAAACAAAACAACCAAACATCCTCTCATTTGTGAGGGATAAACTCCAATTGTTCACAAGGGAGGAACACAGGGAAGGAGATTGAAAGTTTACCAAAATAGGAGAGAAAAAGAGTCAGGATAGTAGAGAGACAAGAAAAGGATCTTAAAAGGTAGAAAGGAATTGGCAAAAAAGAAAGAGAAATAGCAAAGATTCCTAATGCATTCATCTGCTTCACCAAAGTTAAGGAGGAATATTGATCTGTGAAGACCGTGGCCTAAAGTGAATATAATTTATCAGAAGGTGCTGAGAATAGAATGAGAAGCATGATTATCAAACTATAAATTCACTGCAATAGCATATTAAGGGGCCCTGCCAGAGGGCAGTAAAATCTCGTGAGAGTTAATAGGTAAAAGGCTGCCTCGGGGGAAGAGCAGTCTCACAGAGCACGGATCAGAGGCAGCCAGCTGTGCCCAAGCATCCAACAGAGAGATGGTCCCTTCACTGAGTGAACCCAGACCCATGGCTGGCCTTGAAAACAAGGACGACTTTGGGGAAGTCCTTTTGGTAGGGATGCGAGATTTCATTTGTCAAGACTTGAGAAATACCCTCCACTCAGATCGTCTCTTTAAAGCCCATCTTTCCTTCACAACCTTACTTAGGCCTCCTCCCTCACCCCCAAGCCGTGCAGTGACACTGCCCAGGAAGATGGATCATCTGGTTCTTCTAGCTGCTGTGGTCCCCAACAGTGGAGTACCAAAGACAGCGACCAAATACTGAGAAACAAAAGTGAACAGGAATGGGTACCAACAAAGCAGAGCCTTCTGTGACAGGGTGGCCCAAGTCAGTTGCATGTGCCTGGCATCACCCTAAGTATGAGCATCTTTAGGAGTTCTGAAGAAGGCAGAGCCTGGCTGTCGGGATGCACCCTCAGAGTCCACTCAGGGACCTCAGCTTCAGACCCCAACATCTCTCCTGTGTCTGCTCAAAGTTTTCACAGATTCTCCTTCCCTCCATATTTCTTCTGAGATGCCAGGACTGTGGGAGATGGGGGAAGGCTCAGGGCAGCCCAGACTTCCCTGGGATCCCAACAGGATAGGATGCCTGGCATTAACCTCCTACCTTCTGCCTCCTTAGTTCTTCCCATTTGGAGGTGATTTTACTTCGTGCTTCAAGTAGCCTGCTGGCAGGTGGCAATCCTTCGAACAACCCGGCCCTTCGTGACTGTCAGAAGCCTGGAAGGCTCTACAAAATGCTGTTGGCTCTAGAGAAAGGATGGAAACCATCCATTTATCCAAGAATGCCTGAATCAACAACAAAAAAAGGGTGCTGTTTGCATATGGCTGAATAACATGGAGCAGTTAAAATAACAGACCTACACTGATACAAATCGACAGACAAAACATGAAAATGCAGGACTGATTGAAAGCAAATGTGATGCACAATGTTAGATCATCATTATATATATATATATCTTTTTCATATATAATATATGAAAGTATGAACTGGATGCATGCAAAACTGATACTGGTTACCTCTGGGGAGTGGGGGAATGTAAAAATAGGTCTAGGAAAGGTTGTATGTTTAAAAAGTATCTATAAAATGAATTACTCAAGTTATCCACAGAACATATGATTTACATTTAGTATCATCATTTATCCCGGAAGCCCAAAAGAAAACACAGATAAACTAGTAAGAAGAAGATAGTTCAGGGCACGTGAGTGGCTTGGTTGGTTAAGTGTCTGCCTTCAGCTCATGACCTCAGGGTCCTGGGATGGAGTCCTGTGGCATCGGGCTCCCTGCTCTGTGGGGAGTCTGCTTCTCTCTCTGTCTCTACCCCTCCCCCCTGCTCGTGCTCACTTTCTCTCTCTTAAATAAAAATCTTAAAAAAAAAAGAGAGAGAGAGAGAGATAGAAGATCAACAAATTTAAACATCCATCAAGTTTCTCTACATTGAGCAAGAGCTGCAGCACCCTGACTCCTACCCACAAGCCTTCACATGACTCTGCTCCGTGCTTTACAGGGAAGTCTCTATCTGAGCAGAAACAGCCACAGCTCTCACTGCATGACCTGCATCCCACCAAGTCATGAGCAGTACACTCTAGGTATGTGAAGCAGTCAGTGGAAGAGAGAAGTCAAAACAATGTCTAGGGAAAGAGGACCTAGGAAGACAGGGGCGAAGGGAGAATTGCTGATGGACTCAAGGAAGGAAGGAAGGAAGAGAGGGGCAGATTACAGAGTGCCCAGAGGCTGCCAGAGAGTAAGTGGAATCCCCTAGATGGTGGTGTGAGTTCAGAAGCGTTATAGGATAAGCCTCAAATTCTGAATTCTTGGAATGACAGTTAAAGCATCTTGAAGCAAGGGATGTGGATGCTGGTGGGACCCCCATTGAAGAGACTGAGAAGCATGAAGCCAGTGGGAAGCTGGTTTTATTATTATTATGATTATTATAATGATTATTATTGTTGAAATAATAATGACAACACCAGATCACAGGATTCCACAAAAGGCCCATGAGAAGCTGCTTTCACATCCTGAAAAAAATCCATGGGATTTTGAAATTCGACCTGATTATGCTTCATTTGACATAATCTCTCAACTTGGAATGATTTCCTTCTAATCCCATCAGTGCTCTAAAGCCTGGCTTTAGCCCCCTACTCAGATGACAAAGACATACCACTCCCTGCTCACCTTTCACTCCATGGACAGCCTCGTGCATTGAAACGAGTCTTCAGTGCCTCCTAGATATCTGTAGTTCCAGGGACTGGTAGCAGTGGGGTGGTGATGAAGTTCAGGGATGACAGCGTCCTATATTTGAGGGGCTAGAGTAAGAATTTACTTGGAAATGGGAATATTAACATCACAACTGGAAATATCAGAGCTTATTGGCTTAAAAGTCTGATTTCAGCCATCTCTTGCCCAAATTCCTGACTGTAGTCAGATGGCTTCCTTCTGAGCACTGTGACAAAGGTCCCACCAACCCAAGGGGACACCATTCCACGGACAGCTTCAAAACTAAGACATTTCTCCTCTGTCCTTGTGCTTCCTTGTGAAGCCACAACTAATAGGCCCTCCTCCAGGCCAGACCTGGGGAGACATGGACAACACCCACAGGCCTCTGAAGGCTGCCTTTACAGGGCTGTCACCTACGACCCTATAGCACCTGGCACTTACCAATGACCTCGTCTGAACTCGACGTATCTGTCCTGGTCTCATGTGTGATGTGGAAACCAGCCTTGTCAAAATAGTCACGTAGAAGCCTTATCAATCCCAGGCGCGTGAGGACTACCACTTCTGGAAAAGGATTGTAGGTGCTTCTATGAAACCTAGTTCGTAAGCCACTAGAGAGACAGATGTAAATTGGGCAGGGGGTGGGGGGTAGATGGATAGATCATTTTAATTCAAGAATATATGCTGGAGAGGTTTGGAAAACAGCCTTTATTGCATATGATATTGATGCTAAACCAAGCGCCGCTTCCTTCATCTTGCTTCACATCATTGGCATCCTGTCTGCTACTCTCCCCGTGGTCTCTTTTTCTCCCTGGAAAGGATTAAAACAAATAAGGCAGAACAGGAAGAGACAAGAAGCAACGTGAGCTCCACTAGTAAGGGTGAACCTTCAGAGCCACGCACAGCAGAGTGAGTTTATTTCCAGATCAACTACAGCCACGTCAAAGTGCTTGAACATTTCCAGATCTCCTGGGGCCTCACTTCCATGTTTCTCCCTTTCCACACTCCACTTTCTCCCAGGGGGGCTACATTCGTGGGTCAGGGTAAGAGGCCAGCTGAGGCTGAAGGCTCTTGCACCTCAAACCTCTGCTCCCACTAGGCTACTTGTCCTCTCTCCAGACTCCTGCTGGCCCTTGAGCTTGAGCTGATCTCTCTTGGCCCAGAAAAGCCATTGATGGTATTTGCTTTTAGAGTTCAGGTCAGTCATAGAGATAGTGAGATAACTGCTAACAAAATCTTCACTTTCTCCTTTAAGTAAATGGAGCTCAATCCCTCATGTAGCGGCAGAGCCACCAGGTAACCCAGCACACCCTGGGGCCCCTTCCTCTAAATTCCCCTGGGACCTCATGACATGGCCTCAGATGACGCCAACCTCAGGCCTTACCTCTCCCAAGAGAAGGCCACACCATCTTCTGGGATCTTCTGGCTCATGAATCTCAATTGCTGTGTGGAAACCAGAACAGAAAGAGACACTTCTTAATGAAAGAAGAGAGGTGCCATCTGAGTCCTTGGAAATTTCCCGAACTTCCTGTGGGAGCTGACTCCCTATTTACTGTCAGACTTTATGAAATGTGTGGACAGGAAGCCAGGGGCCCAGTGACCTGTGCCCCCAAAACTTCAGGTGTCCCCTGAGCGGGGAACGGCCCGAGCTCTCCCTTCTGGAGGCATGAGGCCAACAGGACAGAGAGGGCAGCGGCTCGGGCAGGCCCAGCTCCCTCGGCACCCCCGGCCCCTGCTCACTTCTTGTCCTTCGGAGAATGAAACACACAGCCCGGGCACTGGCTCCAGGGTCGCTTGGAGCCGAGGTCTTCCCGGGCGGCCGGCTCGTCCTCGCTGGCCTTGCCCTCCGGCCTGGCGGCCGCCGCCTCACTCCACTCCCCCTCCTCCTCCTGGGCGCTCCCGGCCCGACGGCTGCCGCCCAGCCGGGCCATGGTGAGGTGGAACACGTGGCAGCTGAAGCCCTCCCTGACCCCGTGCTGCACGTGCTCCTGGAGGCTCTCCAACGTGGAGAAGACCCGGCAGCAGGCCATGCACCTGAAGCCGGTCTCCACGGTCACCAGCCAGTCGGGGGTCTTGGCCCTGGGTCTCTCCTCAGCTGCGGGCGACCCGGGCGGGCTGTCTGACTCTGCCCGCTCCTCGTGCTCCTTCTCCTCCCCGCTGGGCTCGCTGTCAGACAGCAGGTTTCTGGTGGACACATCAGAGGGGGGAGTACCTACCCGCACGTCCTCAGGAAGGGTCACTTCTTCCATCCTGGGCTGCTTTTCTACTGACTCTGAGGTCTCCTCTGTCTCCCAGGAGACAGCCACACCCTTTTTCATCTGTACCTGCATGTAGTATATTTTCATGCCCCTTTCTTTTTTGTTTATGTACAGAGAGGACACACAGGTCTTATAAGACGAAAGGGACGAGGAGACATGGTGTGAGGGGGGAGCAGTCTCCCCTCGTTCCTGAACCTGGGCTAGGGGTGATCTAGGCTGGGGACTGTCTCGATGTACTCTCCGGAGTCCTGGGAAAGGAAATTAGAGACATAAGAACATGCATGGGGCAGGCCAGAAGCTGAGAGCACTGCAGATGTGAAGATGTGTGACAAAGGACAGAGGGGCCTTGGGGTGATGAGCCTGGTGTTGGTGTTCATGCTCTGGGTGGTGGATCTGGTGTCATCTAGGTGCTCTTCATGTGTGTGTGTGGGGATGATGCTGGAGGGGATGTCTGTATCCGGGGATGTGGACTAGGGTGATACCGTCGGTGTGTCTGTGGAATGTGGACGATGGTGGAGGAGATGGCACAGCGGATCACATGTCTGGGGGTTGTGGGCTGAGGATGGATGTGTGGGGAATGCAGTTGTGTGTATAAGGTGTGGGGGTCTGAGCTGGATGGTCCTGCTCCGGTGCCGGAGACCTGTGATGAGGAGCTCCATCCTTCTCTGGAAGCAAGAGCAAAGGCAAAGCCTACACAGCTCCTCTGAGGGTGCTTAATCCCATCCCTGAGCCCCACACCTCAAGCCCAGACCTTTCTGGCCCATGCTTCTGAACTTCCCCACTATGGTTGCATCAGGACTCCACTCCCTCACACTGAGTTCATACCCACACTCTCTCAACAATTACGCTATCTCCCCAGGCTCCTCCACTAAGCCCTGATCTCCACTGATTGTCTTGGGTTTCTTCTTGGCCTCTCCCATATCTACCTGCCCCTACCTCGTACGCAAGGGGCCCCACACCCAAGGATCCCTGAACCCTTACCACTATGGATGAGCTTGAGTGGAGAAGAAACACAGGAGAAGTATTCAGAGGCAGAGGATACCTCCTCTACCCCTGCGCCCCAGCCTTTAGCCTCCCCAGTTGATTCAACCTGAGGGGCATCCTCCTGTGACTTCGAGACTCCTGGGAAAGATATGAAAGCCTCAGAAATACAGTGGATGGAACATGTTATTGCATCATTCATCCATTCAACAAATATTAACTAAGTGCCCAACATATGTCCAGTGCAGTGAATACACATGGTTCAGAGTCTGGTCCCGAGTGGATACTCTTGTACTTAATTACTATCAATACTTATTTTGTTAGTGCCTTGTTAGCAACGAAGGCCTGAGTGGTGACTGTGACTGGTATGTGTGAAATGTGAGAATGTGTCTCAGCCAAACCTTTCACAAGTGTGGGAGTGACAAGGGGTGAGAATGGTAGAAATGTGTTGGTGGAGAGTCTGGTGATGGTTTGTGTCCACAACTCAGGAAATGTGTGGCGTGTGAATTTCATAGTTTATAGAATATATGGCTTATATTTATGGTGTGTATTCAGTCATTTATACATTCATTCAATGATATTCAGAGAGCATCTACTATGTATCTGGCATTGTTCTGGGCTCTGGTAATGCTGAACATTCTAGTACAAGATAGACGCTAGACAAAAGTACAATGAGTATGTGATATGTCAGCTGGTGTTAAGTATACAAGGGTTGCCAGAGTTAGCAAACAAAAACAGAGGATGCCCAGTTAAACATGCATTTCAGAAAGACCAGACAATTTTTTTAGTGCAAGCTTCCCCTTGCAATACTTGGGTCATGCTTATTTTTAGTATAAGTATGTCCCACATGGTATTTGGGATATACTCATACTCCAGAGTTTGGTGTAAAAGGAGAGGACTTGGATACACATGGATGGTTTGTGAACACAGTGGCGGAGTGGTATGCATATCTGCCTCTATGCTCTGCGTGTCGTCTGCTAAAGCAGCTTGTGTGGAGATGTGCGATTTTTTTGCTGCACCCACATAAATGTAGGTGTATAAGTGCCAATCTCATGAAACCCCCCCTAACAAGAGTTCTGTATTCACTCTTACACGTCTCGAGTGTCTCTCAGATCCAGGCAAGGTGATAGGAGCTTCACAAGGCGGACTCACATCTGAGGACACTCTGCCGGCCTTCTCCCTGCTGCTCCCCCGTCATACACACAGAGGCAAAAATAATCCTGCCAATCCCTGCCTTCTCTGTCCTATCCCAGCTGCTGCCTGAAGATCTGTCTCCTGTCCAGGGCTCACCCTATACTCTCCAGGGCCGTGAGACTTGTGTTAGATGCTAGGCTCCAATGTGGGGCAGAGGCTCTGGCTGGCTCTCCAGGGTGGGCTCCATTCTGGCCCACCACCTACACGTGACCGCCCCCTTCCTCCAGGGCAGGCTGCCCCTGCAACGCCTGCAGTCGCCGTGTGCCTGGGAAGTCAATCCACAGGTCCCAGAGCTCCCTGCGAGGCCCTGACATTTCTCAGCCCCATCCATCTGGGCTTGGTCTCTGAAAGGCCAGTCCCTTCCCTCCGATCACGTCTGCCAAGCCCACACCTGTGGATTCCCCAGCTCCCACGGATCAGTGGTGAATTCTTTGTGCTAAAGGAATACAGTTTCCCCACTTTCAGTGTGATACCATCTCTAGACAATCTCCCTTCTCAAAATATTTTCAACAAGCCTTCTCTTTGCTCTTCAGCAAAAGAGACAGGGAACCCGTAGATCTCCATCAGCATCCTTCACGACCTCCACCCCAAACCCGTGACCCCAGAGGAAGATCAAACAAAGAGAATAAGAACCCAGGACTGAGAAAAGCCACCCCTGTGAGTGTGGGCAAGCAGGACCCCGGCCTGCTACGAGTCCAACAGAGCTCCAGGCCCGAGCAGCCCCTGAGAGAGAAGTCCTCAGCCTGGCAGGGCCAGCTCCCTGTCTGCCAGGAGCCTCTGGCCCTCCTATGCCATCTCACAACACGGGGACCCTCAGGATGGACACGGCAACTGACACCAGGTCTCCCCCCCTCCCGCCCCCTTCACCTCCATCCCGCCTTCCTCAGAAGGAAGCTCAGGCTACCGGCAGCCTTTGAGCCCCAGACAAGGTGCCCCAGCGCATACCTCCTCCCTGCTCAGCAGTTCCTGAGGACTCTTCATTTTCCAGATGTTTCCTCTTTTGTCGCTGTTTCATGGTACCAGCTACAGGAGTTGCTTAGAAGATGCGTAACACCCAGTTCCTCCTTTTCCCTACTGGCTGGCCCTTCTTGAGTCTCAGGAAATTTGTTGAGGTGACCCAATATACATAAAAATCGTTGAGTCTCCTAAATGGCTGAGGAACTCAGACCACTTAGAGAACCAGCAGTACTGCCCAGTGCTCCCTCCAGCACAGGGCTGTTAAGGTTCAAAGGTCACCAGGCCCACAGCGGGAGGGGTTCTGTGACCTGACCGATGACATCAGAGCATTCTGGAGACCTGGATCCCACATAGTCTTTGCAGATGCACAGAGCCCATTTTCAAAAAATAGGGTCTCTTCCCCATGGAACCTCTCCCGTGAATTCAACTCACATCTTCTTAAGAGTGGTAGGATATTTTGAGATGCTAATCTGCTCCTGTTTGGTTGTTTTTCCTTTCTCCTGTTATTTTCTACCCTTTCCCTTCTGCATTCAAGTGGGTAGCAGACTCTGCCTATACTGGCCAGAGGAGGGCCATGGCAGGCTAAAAGCAGCAATATCATGCTTATGCTTTTGGCTTTTATTTCTAAAATCCCCAACTGCTGTACAGAGAGGATACTTGGGCAGAAACCTAACAGAAGCAGGATTCTTGAATTGAAGTACTTCCTGTCTTCTTTACCTACTAGATTGTGGAGAGGTACCGATTGTCAGAGAGCTCTGTGGCCAGGAGTCTCCAAAGTGTGGTTAGAGGTGGCAAAAAGATGTGGCAATAGCTCCAAGAGGAAATGGCTGTACTGTGCATACAAGCAAAATCATGGTGACCTGTCCCACACAGGACACAAGAGCCACCAAACCTCAAGGAGGCATGACAACCAAGCTGATGGACATCTAAGCTATACCTGGGTACTCCAATAAATAGTAACCACGCTCTCGCCTCAGCCTTCATTAGCTGTGGCTCAGTATCATTTCCAAACAGGGGTGGGTGGAAATCCAAACAGGACACCAGTGGGATCAAGGCTTAAAATACAAATTAAGTGGAGTTACAAAAACAATTTTGTACTATTTCTTGCGTACCTCTGCTTGTGGGCTGAAATGTACACCAGTTATAAGCGGCAACCCATCTGGATCCTCCTGATTTCAGTCTAAAATGAGAGACACCTCCTTTCGAGGCAGTGGCCATGATCCTGCAGGAGTACTGGTGTGCGGGAATGAGGTAAACTCCAGAAGTCACTGATACCAGGAATCCCCCCCAGACTAAGGGAAGTTCAAATCTGAAAGGCACTGCAGAATGTCCTGGTCCCCAACAGTCCAGAGTAAAGACAGGACAAGTTCAGCCTTGCAAGGATCTGCTGATGAGATTCAACTTTCCTGTTTCTTGGAATCCCTAGGTAAGAAGGGACAAGGAGGACTTTTAAAAAGCTTCTTGTGGTAGAAATTTTCATACACAAAAGTGAACGACATTGTATAATGGGGATGTGGCTCCATGGACCTATCACCCAGCTTGAACAATTACCAATATTCTCTCATTCTCGTCCCATCACCCCCACCTGCACCCCGTACCATATACACACACACATAGCTTCTCGTCATGTCTTTTAGTTTAGATATTTCTGGGAGTGTGTGGGGGTGAGGGAAACTGTATTTTGAAAAAAATCTCAGACATATGTCATCTCTCCCTGAAGGCAGCAGTATTTATATCCAATAGATAAGGAGGTTTGTTGTATCATTTTTTTTAACACAACAGTGCTATCATTCTTACCCAACAAATTTAACCACAATTTCATGGTATCACTTAATAACCAAGCCATACTTGAATTCCTCCAATCATATTAAAATATCTTTTGTTATACCTCCTTCACTGAAATCAAGATCCAAACAAGGTCCAGACATTGCAACTGGTGAACCTTTTAGCCTGTGACAGCTCTTCCTACCTGTTGGGGGGCATTCATTTGTTGAAGAAACTAAATTATTTGTCCTGTAGTGTTTTCTGCAGCTTCAAGTGGTTCATTGTATCCTTGTGATGCCATTCAAGGTCTCCTGTTACCCATATCTCCTTCTAAACAGGTAGTTAGATCTAGAGAGTTAATTAGATTATGTTCAGTTTCTTGCTAGGGCAAGATTATTTTATCAGTGGTATAAGTGGTGTTGTGTGCCTTCCTATTATATCACAACAGTAAGCACATTAAAGTTGTTCCAATTTTTAACGATGTTGAGATTGATCAGTGGGTTCCTGTGCTGTCAGGTGATCCTGCCACTATAATGATCCCATCAGCCTTTCAACAAATAGCATTAGTAACCACTGATGACCGTTACTTCATTAGGAGTTGAAATTTCATTAGGAGTTCTAATCCCTTCATTCCAAGGAAGATAATTCTCTTTTTCTTCCCCCTGCACCCATTTTGCCCTTTGCCTCTGGTAGTCATCTATTTGTTCTCTGTGTTTATGGATCTATTTCTGCTTTTGTTTGTTCAGAAGCAGGAAGTTTCTTAAGGCATCCTTCTTAGACCCAGAATTTCTGAAAGAATTGAACTTCTCCTTTTGGCTCAGATCATGATCTCATGTGGGGTTGGATGGAGCCCCACATCAGGCTCCATGCTCAGTGCTGAGACTGTTTCAGATTCTTTCTCCCTCTTCTTCAGCCCCTCCCCCCCTCTCTCTCAAATAAATAAATAAATCTTTTTAAAAAATTGAACCTCTCTTCACAAAAAGAAAGATGATTCCAATGTACCAGCTCAGGTTTTCCAATTGAGGACCAGTGGGATTTATCACAGTAGTAAGGTAAAGCCAGGCTGGGACATACTTCACTCATTCCTTCTTCATTCATTCTTCATTCCATAAATCTTTATTGAGTCTCTCTACTATGTGCCAAGCTCTCTAGATGCTGTGTTTGAACACTTATGAACAAAACGGATAAAAGGTTTTTCTCTCAAGGAGCTTAATTCTAGAAGAAAAGACAGATAATCTTGTAAAATACATAGTAGGTTAGATATTGACAAGTACCATGAAACAAAATAAAACAGTGAATTTGGGTGTAGAGGAAATGGGGCATTTCTATGTTAAATGGGAGATCATGGAAGTCTTTACTAAAAAAAAAAATCAATTTTCAGTAAGACCTGAGAGCAATAAGAAAATTTACAGCCAAGGTTATATTTTCCAGATGAAAAGAAGAGGTTGGAGTCCTGGTTCAGTGGTGGTTTGGCCTGTTAGACCATCACAAAAGAAGCCTGTGTAGGCAGGACCAAGACAGAAAGAGAGTGATCACAGATATAATGAGGGACCAGACACTAAGCTATTGTCAAGATTCTGCCTTTTTCTCTGAGTGACTTGGAAAGTGTCAAGAGTCTTGAGTGAACAATTACACTTAAAAAGATTATTCTGGGGCACCTGGGTGGCTCATTCAGGTAAGCCTCTGATTCTTGATCTCATCTCAGGTCTCCATCTCACAGTCCTGAGTTCAAGCACCATGCCATGTTGGACTCCATGCTGTGTGTGGACTCTACTTAACAAAAATAAAAAAAGAAAGAAAAAGAAAAGAAAAGATGGCTCTGTTAAGAATAGCCAACTGGGAGGCAAGGGCAGAATCAAGGAAACAGGGGGCCTATTGGGGCACCCCCCTGGCTCACTTGGTAGAGTATGCAACTCTTGATCTCAGGGTTATGAGTTCAAGCCCCACATCAGGTGTGGAGCCAACCTTTAAACAAAGGAAAAAAACAGTGGGCTTATTGCAATTATCCAGAGGAGAGAGGATACCTAAGAGGAAAAACAAACTAGACTTTGTGAAAACTAAAACCATTTGCTGTGTGAAAGATCCTTAGAAGAGTAGAATAAGACAAGTTAACAACTAGGAGAAAAGATTTGCAAACCACATACCCCACAAAGATGTAATATCTGTGATATGTAAAGAACTCTCAAACTCATAATAAAAAAGTAAACAATCCAAGTGGAAAATGGAGAAAAGACAGGAAGAGATGTTTCAGGGAAGAGGTTGTGCATATGGCAAATAAGCATATGAAATGCTGCTTTATGTCATTAGGCATTAGGGTCATGCACTCAATGAGACACCACTACACACCTACCACACAAGCTCAAATAAAAAATTGTGACAATAGAAAATGCTGAGGAGAATGGGAAGAAACTCCATCATTCATACATTGCTGGCAAAAACATAAAATGACAGCCACTCTGGAAAAGAGTATGGCACTTTGTTAAAAAAAAAAAAAAAAACTAAATGTGCAACTACCATCTGACCCAGCAATTGCATTCTTGGGCATTTATCCCAAGGAAATGAAAAGCCTCTTCATAAAACATACCCGTGAATGTTGGTAACAGCTTATTCATGATAGCCAAAACCTAGAAACAACTCAGATATCCTTCAATGGGTAAATTTTTAAATAAACTGTGATGTATCCATTCCATGGAATTCTACTCATACAGAAAAGAGGAATGAACTTGGATGAATCTCTAGAGAATTATGCTGAGGGAAGAAAGCTAGTCCCAAAAGGTTATATACTGGATGATTCCATTTATGTGACAGTCCTGAGATGGCAAAATTATAGAAAATAGGTGAATAGTTGAGTGGTTAAGGTGTATGGAAGTATGACAGTGAAGTAGGCATGGCCATAAAATGGCAACATGAAGTGTGTTTGCCTTCATGGAACTATTTTGTGTCTTGATGCTATCACGGTCAATATCTTGGTTGTGACAATGTAGTATAGTTTTGTAACATGTTTCAATTGGCCAAAGTGGGTAACCTTTACACTGAATCTCTCTGTTTTATTTCTCACAACTGCATATGAATGCACAATGATCTAAAAATTAGAAGTTTAATTTAAAAGAACTGAGAGAAACATTTTACTTACTAGATTATTGGCTTATGATGAGAGGATATAACTCAGGCACAGTCAGATGTAAGAGATGCAGAGGACAAGGCACGGGGAAGGGGCACAGAGCTTCCATGCCACTCTCCTCAAATCTCCATGTGTTTTACCAACCAGGAAGCTCTCTGAACCCGTCCTTTTTGGTTTTCACAGAGGCTTCATTACATAGTCATGATTGATGGAATCATTGGCCAGGGAGGACTGATTCAGCTTCCAGCCTCTCTCTCCCCTCCCCAGAGGAAGGAGGTGGGATTGAAAACTCCAACCCTCTAATCACATGCTTGGTCCCCCCTGGCAACCAGCCTCCACCCAGAGGTGCTTCCAATGTCACCTCATTAACAAAAGACACCTGCATGGCTCTTATGAAGTAGGAAATTCCAAGAGTTTTAGAAACTCTGTGCCAGGAACAAATATGTTTTTCTTACTATATCACACAGCTACTTTCAATTTCTACAGCTGTGCCTTCCAGAGGCTGCCTAGTCCATATCTCACTATTTCCAATGATAGAAAACACACTTTCCCTCGAAGCAGTTGGGACATTTATCTATAGAAAACTAGTAAAACCTGAATTTAGGAAAGGAAGCCTCAGTTCAACTCTTTGGATACTGTTTCAATCAAAAAGGAGCATAATTATTTTATTGTAACAACCCCCCCCCCCAAGTAATAGAGACTTAAAACAACAACGGATCATTTCCTACTCCTTGTATATGCCCACTGTGGGCTGACTGAAAGTGCCCTCCTCGATTTCCTCATTCCTGGATTCTGGCTGATAAAGCCACCAGTGTCAGCCATTACTGCCAAGAGAATTCTGGAGTCTCACACTGGCATTAACTGTTCTGTCCCAAAAGTAACGCATCACTTCTACCCAAAATTGTTGCCCACAATCTTATTAGGTGTCTCTCCATTTTCTAGGTTCCTTAGGCAAAAATAATTGTGAAAAGTGCTAATGAAAAGCACAGGGACCATGTAGAAAGATCTTCATCCCTCCCCACGAGGTATGAGACCTGACA